ACCTGCCAACCTGTGGCGAGGGTAGGCTGGAAGACACTAAGAGGTGATGTGGTGGAGAGATGGGAGAGAAAGAGACGTGGAATGGTTTGAACATCATAAAGAGAGATGGAACTAGAGATGCTACAGTGGAGAGGAACAACCATGCAACAGTGTGCCACTGTCCAAAGCCCTTCACCGAGCTGATCCTATCCCTCACTGACTATGCTCCACAGCCAGCTCTGTAAGGCTAGGCTGTGAGTTTTACTGGTCTCTGGAGTCCCAGGGTAGCAGTTCTCAACCTGAGAATCACCTAAGACCATCAGAAAACACAGATGTTTGCATTATGATTCATAACAGTAGCAAAATTACCAGTTATGAAGTAGCAACAGAAACAATTTTATGGTTGGGGGGGGTCACCACAACACAAGGAACTGTATTCCAGGGTAATCCTCCTTGGATGATAACAAGATAAAGAGAACTATGCAGCAGCTAAGTCTATGGTAATGAGAATGCTAACATTCCCTATTGGAGAGGTGGGGCACAGGACTCCCCTGACACAAGACTCTCTCCTAGGATTCTGACTACCACTTCACCCTGCCCCAGTTAGAAATGCTAAAGTATGTCAGAGCTCCAAACACTAACGGGTGGGAGTTTGTGGTACTCCTGTAAATAACACAATTCACACAAATTCCCTTAATTTGCCAAGCTAGACTTGATGGGGTCTCTTTTTTAAAAAACTCTCCTCCCGTATGTGGTTCAGCGGAGCGGCTCACCTTGCCTGCCCCAAGTCCTGTGCTCTATTCCCAACTACACATAAAACAGGCATGGTGGCACATGCTTGCAAATCCCTGCTAACAGCAAGCTAAGAAAATCCACTTGTGTGGACTCAAATCTCACACAAGTGAATGGCATCCATCCCTCCCATGCAGAGAGCCTGCAGACAAAGCAGAACAGGGACAGTGAGTTTCAGAGTCAGGTGTCTGAGAAGCCAGGCTGTGGAGCTTCGTGGGTTCAGACTGGGCCTCCTTAGTTAGAGTGGGTGCTAACACCCACTGGGTGTCACAGCAGGTACATGGGTGGGGGAGGACACTTTAGACTCCAGGAAGGGTGGAGCAGGATATGGGCTGGGGCCAGAGAAAGTGGTCTAGAGACAAGCTGGCCATGTTGACCATGCCATCTGGCAGGCCCAAAGCCTGCTTGAGCTCAGTTAATCCATCCCAAGCCAAACAAGATCCTATTCCCTTCATCTACGAACTGGAATTGTAAATCAGACGTCACGGATGAGCTGCTGCTGTCATTGACGAGTGGCAGTGTTCCTGGAGGAGCTCTAGCCCTGCCCCAAGCTGAGCAGATGGCAGGGGGGGCCCTGGTGAAGATAGGAGTATTGCCCTGACAATACACATATCCTGACCAATAGGAAGGACAAAGAAATGGCCAGTGACCCTGCTGGTGTCCAGATTTAAGCATCTCTATTCTAACTGTGGAACCCAGCGCCTGTATAGACCTTGACCTTTCTCCTTCTAGAGATCCCTGCTCAGTTCCTGCCCTGGTGTCATGGTAGCGGTACCTAGGCAGTCTCACATTCTCCTCTCCATGGCCCTGTAGCCTTCTGGGAGTTATCTACTAGTGGTCTGTATTGTCAAGCCTATCTTTTTTCTTTAAAATTTTATTTTTAGTCGGGCGGTGGTGGCGCACGCCTTTAATCCCAGCACTTGGGAGGCAGAGACAGGTGGATTTCTGAGTTTGAGGCCAGCCTGGTCTACAGAGTGAGTTCCAGGAAGCCAGAACTACACAGAGAAACCCTGTCTTGAAGAAAAAAAAAAAAGAAAAAAAAAGATTTTATTTTTAATCATGAGTATATAGGGCAGTATTTGCATGTGAGTGTAGAGCCTTCAGAGGCCAGAGGACGGTGACAGATTCCCTGGAGACTGAGTTACAGGGCGAGAGCGGGACCTGCCCTTAACTGCTCCCTGGGCATCTCCCCAGCTCAAGCTATTTCTTGGATTTATGAACATCTTCAGGCCAAAAGAAGAGGAGTGGGCGTACTCACAAGTTTACCTGAGGAGTTGGTGGTGCTGAGTGTGATGGAGGACTGGGCATGATGTGAGTTGCCCTCTGTACTTTGAAGGATGCCTAGTTTAAGATTCCTGCTTCCTTGAAGCAAGTAGAGCCACTGGTCGGTATTTCCACCAGTTTGATAGAAGTCTGAAGTTCAAAATGAGGGAGGAGACAAATTGTTGTGTCTCTCTGTTCCTTTCTCACTTTGATGTGAGACAATGACAGACAGGGAAGGAATCAGACAAGCAACGAAGAGCTTCCCCCAAGCCTCACTGTGTGCAAGGGGGCCAGCAAGGGACATGACTGATCACTGGTATTTCTGCAGCTTAGGAGGCCAGAGTCAAAGCCGGGACCCTCACGAGCCATGGGACAACAGATTTCTTGGGAAAAGAGTTCTGTTCAGAGGCTGGAGAGATGGCTCAGAGGTTAAGAGCACTGACTGTTCTTCCAGAGGTCCTTGAGTTCAATTCCCAGCAACCACATGGTGGCTCACAACCATCTGCAATGGGATCTGATGCCCTCTTCTGGCTTGCAATCATGCATGCAGGCAGAACACTATACACAATAAATAAATAAATAAATAAATAAATAAATAAATAAATAAATCTTTTTTTTTTAAAAAGAGTTCTGTTCAAAGCCTTCTAGTTATAAAAGTGGCGAGTAGTGAGCTTCCTCTCCATCACTGTGGGACCAATGGCTTTGGAGGAGGAGGGGTGGTTGGAGCGGCTGAGGGAGGACCTGAGTGCAAGATGGGCACACGGACTCTAAGGACTGTTTTGAGTTTCCCTCTATCTTGCTTCACAACAGAAAATCATCATTAAGTATTTGTTTGGCTCAGCAGTCGAAGGTGTCTGCTCAGGGGTACTTCAGGCAGAGCTCCACCACTATCTGTGGCTGTAGAGGTGTCTGCCTCACTGCCTGATGACACCCAAAGAATCTTCCTATTGATTCATTAGGAATGAATCTTCCTATTGATTCATTATGCTTTTCTTTCTTTCTTATATGAATTGATTTTTTAAATTGATTTTATTTATTTAATGTATATGAGTACATTGTCACCATCTTCAGACACACCAGAAGAGGGCATTACAGATCCCATTACAGATGGTTGTGAGCCACCAGGTGGTTGCTGGGAATTGAACTGAAGACTTCTGGAAGAGTTGTCAGTGCTCTCAACCGCTGAGCCATCTCTCCAGCCCTGGCACTGCTTTTCTTGAAAGGAATCTTCCCTAAATCCTGTGGAAATGCAAATGGGCACAGAGGACCTGAAAAGCATGACATTTTCCTTTTTCTAAAGGATTGGGTTTTAGCGTTTGTTTATTTATTATTGCGTGTACGTGTGTGTGGGGGAGGGGGAGGTACTGGTAGGTCAGAGGACAACTTTGTAAGTCTGTTCTCTCCTACCTTTATGTGATTCCTGGGTGTTGATCTCAAGTTGTCAGGATTGTGCTACAGGTGTGTTTATCTGTTGAGCCACTTCAACATTACTTTTGATTCTTAATTGTCGTTCAGGCTGGCCTTGAACACCTGGCAGTAATCATCTTACCTCAGTCTCATAAGCACTGAGATGGCAGGTATTTGCCACCATGGCCAGTTCAACATGTCTCTTACTATGTTCTATTGAGAGGAGGTTACAGGGTATGGGGCTAAGCCAGAGTATGTTAAAGTATGCTGTCATTTTGTTTTGTTTTAGATTTATTTAGATTATTTTATTTATTTTAGATTTTATTTATTTGAATGCTTTGCCTGCAAATATGCATGTGTACTATGTGCATGCCTGGTGTTCGACAAAGTCAGAAGAGGGCTTCAGATCCCCTGGAACTAGAGTTATTGATGGTTGTAAGTCATCATGTGGGTGCTTGGAACCAAACCTGAGTCCTCTGAAAGAGCATTAAGTATTCTTAACTACTGAGCCATCTCTTTAGTCCCTATATTATGGTGCGATTATATATATGTATTTAATATACAATATATTATATATATAACTAATAATATATATATCATCAGTCAGTTGTCCCCACTTCATGGTATCAAAAAAGGAAGTAGAGGGGACAGGCTCATCAGTTAAGAGCATATACTGCTCTTGCAGAGGATCCAAATTTAGTTTCCAGCACCCATATGTGATGACTCAGTCATCTGTAGCTCCCAAAGATCGATGCCCTCTTCTGACACACATCTGATCGGATGTGTGAGCACAGGCATCTGCACTCACACATGTGCCAACCCACCACTGTCCCCGGCGCAGCCCTAGGATGGAAGTCGAGCGACAACTATCATCTTTGTGTTGTATATGGGTAAACTGAGTCCCAGTTGGGCAGGCCTAGTTGGGCTGCTTGGAAAAATGAGGCAGAAAATCCAAATTCAAGGATTGCCTGGCTGCAGTTAAGTTCGAGGACAGAGTATGCAAGTAAGTGGGATCTTGCCTCTATAAGTAGAAATGGGGGCTGGGGATGCATCAGCGGAAAAGCACTCCTGAGATGCAAACCCAATCCTCAGCACCAGAACTAAATAAACACTCATGTGAGGTCCAAATAAGGAAAGTGGCTTTTCATAGATTTGGCAGAGGAGGCCCTGCCAGAGGCGCCCACCACTCTCTTCCCCTCTCCCTACCTCCTGCTGCCCCATCTTTTATTCCCTGCTGTCATCTCTGCTCTGTTTTGTGTTTCTCTCTGCTTCCTCTCCCTCCCACTTCTTGCTTTAAATGACACATAGAGTCAGTGTCGAAACCTGTCCAACCCTTTGCTCGCTCTGAACACCTGCCAGCCTTAGTTCTGTCCCTCCCTGGGCCCCAGGGCCCAGCGTCATATCACCACAAAGTCAGCCTTGAGCCTTGAGCAAGTCCTTCCCAGGTGTCAGGATGAAGAGATTAACTTGGGGCGACACTGTGGCTGCCAACTGGTCACAGATAAGGGTGGGGATCAGCACAATAAATAGGTCCCAACCTCACTGTTAGTCCAGCCTACACTTGGCTGCGGTCACACAGCTCGCAAGCAGCATGGCTATGCATCTGTGGTTGGTCACCCTGACCTTGGTTCCCCTCTTTGCCATGGACAGGGGTGAGTGGGCAGAACTTGGTCTCTCTGAAGCTTGGATGTGGGGGCTGAGGCAAGGCCTGGAGCTTCCTGGGAGGCCTGGGCTTTCTGTGTAGCTCTTCCTTCTGCATTCATCCTACTGTAGTAGGCAAAACACTAGGAGAAAAGAGATGGGTTCAGTCCTGACTCTGGACCAGAGCTGCCAAGTCCTCATCCCTTGGAACTGTGAAGTAGGATGCCGTTTCAGTTTGAAGCTGCACTGAGCAATTATGGACTGGAGGCTGAGGAGACAGAAGGAACAGTCAGGCCCCAGGTTGACTATGGGGTAGTGAGTGCTAAGAGAGACTCGTCCTTGGCGGGCCCTGTTCTCTTTTGACAAGATGTAGTAGGGGACCCAAGACAACCACTTAAGCATGGAGTAGGGGCCTTGGGTGGTTAGACACACACACCAGAGGTGGACTTCCTCAAGGCCCGGAGCATCTCAGCAGTCTCACAGCTTCGGACAGATACTTTTCTTGTCCTTTAACATAGAAAGGAGCAGAACAAAAAAGCACCATCCCACAGATCTTAAACTTAGTGGGAACGAGGTGGGTGTGGGGAGAGGCAATAAATATTATACAAGAATATGATAAAGGCTAAGAAAAATATGGAGCTTGGAAATGGGGATTGGGAGGGAACTGCAGTGTAAAATCAGTGGAGGTCTTAGAGAGATTCAGGTTTGAGGAGACCTTGAAGAAGGTGAGGGGGTGAAGGTATTTTGGACAAGAATGTTCTGGGGAAGCTGGTCGGTGGTGGAGCACGCCTTTAATTCCAGCACTTGGGAGGCAGAGACAGGCGGATTTCTGAGTTCAAGGCCAGCCTGGTCTACAGAGTAAGTCCCAGGACATCCAGGGCTACACAGAGAAACCCTGTCTCAAAAAACCAAAAAAAAAAAAAAAAAAAAGAATGTTCTGGGGGAGGAACCAAGGGTTCCTGGTAGAACAAGGAAGATACAAGGGCCCTGAGGTAGAAGCATACTAGAGTGTTTGAGGTGCTGTGTGGATGGCGGGGGGGGGGGGGTTGTGAAGGGCATGGTACAGAGTAACAAGAGAGGAGAGTGGGGAGGGCAGGGATGGAGAGGTGAGGGGAGAGGCAGCTGAGAGCTATGTTAGGCAAAGTCTTGGGAGTCAATGTGAGAACCTTTTCCTCCAAGTGAAGTGAGAGCCAGTGTCGGGTTTGGAGTGGAGCTAAACCTTTAAAGAATGTTCTAGCTTGTATGTTGAGAATAAACAGAACAGGGAAGCAGAGAGACCATTGGGACTAACTAGACGATAGTCACATTATAAAGCAGTGTGCAGTAGGACCTCGAGACCATTAAGTCCATTCCCACTACCTCATGCCGGTCACAGCTGGGAGCTGGGTGATGAGGAAGAGGCCTGCAGTCTCTGGTCAGACACAGGCTGCCTTCCCCCTTGCCTGTTCCCCATTTCCCAAGCACCTCTTCCTCCAGTGGGAACATTAAGCAGCCTGCCTTGAAGGTCCTTGCACACATTTTAGATTCCAGCCTTGGTTAAATGAAGAAGGGCTCCTAGGGAGGCAGGGCTGACTCAGTGAATGGGACAACATTTGGCTTTGTGACAAAGCTCAAATCCAGGTCTTCTCAAGGAACTGTAGGGGACAGTAGGGAAAGCTTCTAAGCCTAGAGAGGATGCTGTCACTTCATAGGAGGAGACTGGGGTGGGGCATCTCAGGCAGCAGGTCTGCATGAGTCAGAAAAGCCTCTGCTTCAGGACAATGAGCAGTGAGGGACTCTTGGGTCCTAGGGACATTGAGGATTATATTATATAGCAAGGCCCAGGAGCAAGGCTGGGAGGTCAGCTTACATAGGTCCTGAACATGTGACTGTGGGGTGCTGGTCCAGAGGGAGCTTCGGGACAGTGATGGGAGCCAGAGCAGGGGCTTTCTGCCTTTTAAATGTTTGACATTTTTGTTCTGCTATATAGCTGGGTCTCTCTTAGGACTTTTGATCCCTCTGCCTCAACCCCCCAAAAGCTAGGATTATAGGCCTCCACCACCACACTCACTCAGCCTTTGTAAATGCTTCTCTCCTAATAGCTACAGACCATGGAACACATGGTATTTCTACTGAGTACATCTTACTGGTGAGCCGTAACAATGCACACACCTCTATGTTCCAACCCTCTATCAAGATACAAACCAGCTAAGCTTGCAGTAGATGTGGACGCTCGTGCTGGAGGCAGCTTCCTTTACAATGACACAGCTTTCTGCTCCATACAGAAATGTAGTCCAACCCCCTCCCCCGCTCCTCTACATGCGGTAGAATGAGCTCATCTCTCCATCAGGCTCTGGACAGCCCCACAGAGGCATCCAGAAGCATCCATCCCTTCCCCCACCTTCAGAGCCACCCTTCCTCCCATCTGGGCCTTAGACACAGCTCAGGTTCTCTCGCCCACCCGCAGTGCCCGCGGTCACACAGCTTTACTCGTGTCCTGTAAGAGGCCCAGCCAAGCCTCCAGGCAGTAACTGTGTGTGTGGGGAGTTGGACTTGGGATGGCAGACCTGTGTGTAAGTTCTAGCTCTGCCTTATCTGACCATGTCATTCCAGCTCTCTGAGCCTTTCACAGGTCAGCCAAGCATTCCAGCAGGCAGACCTGAGCCTGCATGCATTATGCAGAAGTGTGGGAATACTACCAGAGTGAGGGAGTTGGCTGAGTGTGACCATGTGTCAGGGGGCCTGCGGGGAGCTGCGGGGCACCTCAGCATGTTCCAGAGACACGAGGGCTGGGTCTTGCAACCACCCCACTGTTAGGGGATCTCTATGACACAGGAGGCAAGGTTGGATGAGGCAGCTCCATTCCCCAAGATTAATTCCCAGGAAGGGACTGATTGTGAACAGCTAGCACTCCAACAGCTGGGGCTGGTACCTTAGGCCTGTGCTGGACTCTGGCTAGCAGATACAACATATACTACCTCCATTCTTCCTTCTGTTTGGGTGGTGAGAGGTACAGAGATTACCCAAAGACATATTTGCAATGTCCAGCATACACTAACTGCTGATTCTTTATTATTATTTGCCAACACACAAAATTTCCACTGGGATCTGAGTAATTAGAAGCAGGTTGGTCCGTCACCCCCTAATAGCAGACTTTCTGTCTTTATTCACGTAAACCAAGACAATGTCAGCTTTCTGGAAGTCCCGCCATCTGTGTCTGTTTAGCTTTCCTTGAGAAGTCCAGATTGGCAGTGCCTGGGCCAGGAGCTCCAGAGCAGGAGGGCTCCCCAGACTCTGACCTGGAAGCCAGAGCTGACAGCACCTTGCTTTGTTCTTTTTGTCCTCTAGAGCTGCTGGTGTCGGCGGGGAAGTTTGTTTTCTCCAGAATGGTAAGGATATCACTCTGCAGGAGTCCTCTCATACACTCTAGGACATCTACCCTTCTGCTGACACCTTCAATGGTCCCAAGGTAGTCAAGGTGGCCTCTTGCACCTGCATTTTCCTTAGAATACCTCCTCCAGACTGAGCAGGCCCAAGTTCTAAGCCTGGAGTCAGCCCTCAGGATCTGCCTCAATCCTGTTCTCCAAGGTCCTTTTCTCTATTGGTGCCCATCACCCAGCAGAGCAGGACACCTCACCTGCTGTGCTCTGTGTAGCACAGGACCGGCCACAGGTTTCAGCCAGAGAGGTCACACCCCAACACAGTGAAGGCCCTGTGGATGTCGGCCTTTACCAAGCATCTCTCCTTCATCCCTTCACTCTAAGTGGGCAAACACCAAGCTGCCCTGCCAGATTCCACCTTGGGTCTCACACTCCCAGTGACAAGATCCAAGCAGCAGCCTCAGGCTCTTCCCTATTAGTTACTGTTAGCATTTTGTCTAAGCTCCACCCCACAGTTACCTGGCAACAGCCAGGTATGTCTGACTCACTATGAAAGGGGCTGCTTGCCCCCTCCTCACTCTCTTACTCCTCTATTGCTCTTGCTCTGTCCTCTCGTCCCTTACCCCCTCTCTCTCCACGTGCTCATGGCCGGCATCTACTTCTCTTCTCTTCTCTTCTCTTCTCTTCTCTTCTCTTCTCTTCTCTTCTCTTCCTCTTCTCTCTCTCTCTCTCTCTCTTTCTCTCTCTCTCTCTCTCTCTCTCTGCCTTTCTCTGCCTCTACTACCCTCTTAACTCCCTTCCCCATGCCCTAAATAAACTTTATTCTATTTATTCTATACTATTATACTGTACCATCGTCGTGTGGCTGGTCCCTCAGGGAGAAGGGATGCCTAAGCAGGGGTCTACCAAGGCACCCCCTTCCCCTATACCTCACCACACCTCCATAGAACATATCCCCCTCTTTATCTTTTTATAAACACATCAATTAGTCCATCCAAACCCAGCCTCACTTACTTGGTTCCAAAGAACCAGATACTTTATATGCTGACTCCAGCTAATCCTGGTGAGAAGAACAGTTAGGTACCATTTTCACTGAGGAGGAAGCTGAGGCTCTGAGAATGGAAATAGCTCACCCAAGTGTACAAAGCCTCAGTGGCTGATCTGTGGTCTGAGGAGTGCAGACTTAAGTTGTTCTGTTTTTTGAAACAGGGCCTCATGTGGCAGAGGCTGCTTCTCAGGTAGTTGATGACAGCTCGACCTTGTCATCCTCCTCCTTCCACCTTCCAACTGTGGGGCTCACAGCTGCACACTACCATGCTAGAGCATGGGTTGCTACTGCTCCCCTACACTGCCCCCTCACCCTTTCTTTGATCCAGGCTCCAATCCCAGTATTGAGTCAGTTTAGCCCAAACCCTTCAGTTGGAGACTAATTAAGATGTAAGCCCTGCAGCATTTCTCCAGCCTTCCCACAAAAACCTGAAAGACCATGTTGGGGGCTGGGTGAGCTCAGTTAGTAACTGCTTGCCTTGCAAATGTGAAGACCCGAGTTTGACCTCTGACACCCATTTAACCCTGGTGCTTGTGAAGCAGAGGTAGTGTGGTGGTTTGAGCATGCCTAGCCCAGGGAGTGGCACTATTTGGAGGTGTGGCCCTGTTGGAATAGGTGTGGCCTTTCTGGAGTAGGTTTGTCATTGTGGGTATGGGCTTTAAGACTCTCATCCTAGCTGCCTGGAAGTTAGTATTCTATAGCAGCCTTCAGATGAAGATGTAGAACTCTCAGCTCCTCCTGCACCATGGCTTTTTGAACACTGCCCTGTTCTTGCCTTGATGATAATGGACTGAGCCTCTGAACCTGTAAGCCAGCCCCAATGAAATGTTGTCCTTATGAGTTGCCTTGGTCATGGTGTCTGTTCACAGCAGTAAAACCCTAACTAAGACAGATAGGAACATCCCTGGGGCTTGCTGGACACCTAGCCTAGCCTCCTTGGTGAGTTCCAGACCACGAGAGAACCTATCTGGAAAAAACAAGATGTATGGTTCCTATGGAACCACATCCAATGTTCAGTGGCCTCTGCATACATGCACACATATATGCACACATGTGCACCCCCCACATGTACACAATAAAGATCACATTGGCCTTGGTAATTTCAGGATCCCCTAGGGAGGGAGACACTGTCTGAGAATGATGGATAGCTGTTTACTGGGCTTATATTTGTCCAGGAGCAGAGTTTCTAGTTACATCTACTGAGAAGTATGTGAACAGGAAGCTCTGGGCACAAGCTTCTTCTACACACCCACCCACACAAACACACAAGCATAGGCAGGATGTCATACACAATGGCTCAACAGACATAGGCTCCAACTTATGTATATATACATCCAGCCATATCCACACACACAAGCAAACACACCATGGAGTCCTGAGTAGCTGGTTTCCTGTTCCAAGCAGAGCCCCTGGGCCCATGACCACTACCTCTGAATCCCCCACTACTTCTGTTTTCCACAGCCCATTTGTGAGCACATGGCTGAGTTTCCAAACTGTCCCCGGACACCTAACCTGATCTGTGGCACAGATGGGCTCACATATGAAAATGAATGCCACCTCTGCGTGACCCGGATGTAAGTTCCTTCCCATCCAACATGTTTGGATGGTCTCCTCTCTGGTGCATGCTCGTCTGAAAGGAGCAGGACCTGACCTTATCTTCCTTCACTCACTGACATGGCCAGAAAAGAGTCCTTAGATATCTGTCTACCAGAATGAGCTAAATGCATCCCAAAGCAAGAATGGGGGTGGGGGGGGGGGAATCCCAGGTCAAAAGCCAGAAACTGATAGGAGCCAGGGGAGGGGGCAGAAACCCTGAGACATTTTTCTTGTTCTGTCCCTGACTAGATGATTTCATCTGATCTTTCATTCCTCTAGCCAACTATTATTTATTGAGGACTTACTGTGGCTAGTCCCTGAGAGCCTCTCTAGTCTCTTGGAGTCAGGATAAGAGAGGGAAGCCAACAGTCAGCCAATGGCAGCACAGCTCAAGACCTGGAGCAGCACACAGGAACAGAAAGGGAGCAAGACTGGGGAAGGCTAGAGGAGGTAAAACCCAAGCTCACCCTGCAACATAAGTAGAAGCAGCTAGGAAAAAGCAGGAAATTCAGTTTCAAGTAGGGGAAAGGGAATTTGGAAAGGTCTATAAGAGCCTGGTGAAATCAGGGAGAAATCTCTGGCAAGTGCAAAGCTGTCTAGGCAGATGTGGACATCTGTATTGGAAGAAATGTAAGAAGATAGGGTCCTGGCTCTGAAAAGGGTCATACCAAAATTCACGGTTAGGAGATATTTGGGGGTAGAATTGACAGGCTCAATCTACGACTGGATGTGAAGGATGAGAGGAACGAGGGTGAGCGTACCTGCTCTTCCCTTCCCTTGCCTTCCTTCCCCTCTTCTCCCTTTCCTTCCTATTTCTGAAACAGGGTCTTCCTATTTTGTCAGTGTGCACCAGAGGCTATCCTCAGAGATCTCTGGCCCTGCCAGAGGGTTCAAGAGAAGGGGAAAGGGCACAAGCAGGGAGGGGAAGTGCCTCTGCTACCTCCGCTACTGCTGCTGCTCTGGTGCTGTGCCCTGGCAGCTACTGTTGTACTGGATGCCCTGAGCCTAGCCAAGCTGAGCTGGCGGAGGGCTAGGGAGCTTCTGGTGAAGAGAACACTCTCTTCCAAGGCAGTGTTACAACTCTGTGTGACAGATGCTCTCAGATGATGGAGTAATTCTCACATACCTTTATTCCTTCTGGATAGGATCTTATATACAGTTTTGGGTTGGGTTGGGGTCTGACAGCAGGTGCTTCCCATTGGCTTGATCTGAGATGTTAGGAATACCTCATCTACATATGGAGGAGCTTGGGGGGCTGCCCCTATGTGACTGATGGCCACAATTTTATTGAGGGGAGGCGCCATGGCTATCTGTCAGGGGTCTGGTGTCAGGGAGCAAGCGAGGCTCCCACTGTCCCTTCAGGGTCCCCAGGGCTTCAATCCCTAGTTCAACTTTACCAGGCTTCTTTTCACAGTCCACTGCCCAACATGCTATGACCCAGATTGATCTTTTTTTTTTTTTTTTTTTTTTTTAGGTTTTTCAAGACAGGGCTTCTCTGTGTAGTCCTGGCTGTCCTGGAACTCACTCTGTAGACCAGGCTGGCCTCAAACTCAAAAATCTGCCTGCCTCTGCGTGCCAAGTCCTAGGATTAAAGGCGTGCACCACCACTGCCCGGCTATCTTTTTTTTTTTTTTGGCCAGATTGATCTTAAACTCATGGTTTGGTTTTGTTTCAGTACTAGGGATTGAACAGAGGATCTCCTACATGCGTGGCTAGCCACATCTGTACCCTTTATTTTTAAACAGGGCCTGGTTAAGTTGCATAGGCCTTGAACTCATAAAGTTCAGGAAGGCCTTAAAGTTGAAATCCTTTGCCCAGCCTCCTGAATAAGAGATCCTAGCCCTGTGGTTCCAGGCCTAGTACATGTTATTTATGGCCTTGGGTGGCTAGTGGAATCACTTGCTCAGATGGGGGCTCTAGGGCAGCCTTGGGAGTCAGTGATGTTTCTGGATAGTTGGTCTCTGGTTTATCTTGGTTGGGGGTCATGCTATAGGGCCAAGGACAGACAGGACAGAGGTTTGGCAGTCATTAGCAAGCGATGGAAGCTGAACTCCAGAAATCTGCAAGTTCTCAGAGTATATGTAAGAGGGTCAGTTTATAGGAGGGGTACTATCAGATCCCTGATCTGCTTTACATCTGGACACTTGGAGGAAGGCATCAGCAGGAAGTCTAGATGGACTGGGCATAGTTTTTTTTTTTTTTTTTTTTTAAATCATCCCTTGTAGTTCCTACAGTTAATGGCCTCATTCTTATCTTCGACTCCAGGAAAACCAGAAAGGACATTCAGATCATGAAGGACGGCAAATGTTGAGCCCAGAGGTACACTCAAGCCATGAAACTTCAAGCTGGAGAACAGTGATGCTCCAGAGGCTATGCTATGAAATAAAGGATGCAGCCCAAGCTGGTGAAGTGGCCCAGTCTTTGGGCCCTCTGGGGAGGTGGCAGTAAGGGATGGGCGCAGCCTCAACAGTGCTCCTAGTTCAAGCTGTTATCCCCAGTTGCCCTGGTGGTCCTCAACCTTGTTATATGTTCCAATTAGAGGTCCCAGTTACCCTCCAACTGCTTGAGGTCACACTCTGACCCCAGGGCACCTAGTGTTCTACCTACCTCAGGCCACAAACCCAAGGAAGATGAACACCTACTATGTGTCCAATGGCACCTGAACCTATCCATGGATTTCTCCTAGGCTGACCAGCACTTGGAGGCAGACACACACGCACACAAGCCTCGGGCACAGCTGGCATTCAGGCAGTGTGCACTGTACAGACACAAACGCACACAAGCCTGACAGGGCACAGCTGGCATTCAGGCAGTGTGCACTGTACAGACACACACGCAGACAAGCCTGACAGGGCACAGCTGGCATTCAGGCAGTGTGCACTGTACAACTGAGCTACTTCTTATACTATCGAACTGTTTTTTGGACTGAGACACAATCGAGTGCCACAACGTGTTTATTATTATTAATAAGCATCCAAAACTTGGTAATGTTCTATGCCCTGTGGGTGCTTTCCTGCATAGATCACCCGGAGAGTCTTGGCTCTCAGGTCCAGCCTCAGGTCAGCTCCTTAGCACAGCAGGATGACTGGCATACCTGCCCTGCTCAAATTAATATCCACTTTGATTGGCTGATGCCAGCTGGGCCTGAACGGTCTCAGAGGTGGAGTTTCCCATGGAAAAGACATTTGATCATGTCCTCAAAGATGAACAGGAGACACCTACCAAAGGAGCACAAGTAGAGGAAAGAGAGGGGGTGTCCATAGATAGCAGCAGGTGCAAACACCCCCCCAGAGCAGTAGAAACCAAGATGAATCTGGGAGCCTGGGAGACATGAGTGGTGGACAAGAAGTCAGGGGCCAGGATGAGTTGAGAAGGTACAGCGAAAGGGACTCTTGTCCTTTCTTCTGAAAGGTGCTCTAGGTGTTGAGACAGGGTCTCACAGGACGGTTCAGGCTGGTCTTGAACTTATGGCAACCCTCCTGCATCAGTCTCTCTGGTGCTAGGATTATAAGTGTAAGTTACCATGCCTGGCAGGGACAGTAGGGTCTTCATCCTAAGAGGCACTGGAGCCCTGGAGGCTTCTAAATAGAACTCTCACATATTCTAGCTTCACGTAGGCTGCTCCAAGGAGAATGAACTGGAGAGGGTCAGAGACCAACTGTCTTAGTTTTGAATCCTGTTGTTATGATAAATACCCTAACCATAGCAACTTAAGAGAAAGGGGGTTTATTTGGCTCATAACCCCAGGCTAATCCACGACAGCAGGAAGTCACAGAAGCTTGAGGGGGTTAGTCACATTGCATCCACAGAAAAGAAGCAAAAGCAAGGATAAATGCATGCATGGTGGTACCCAGCTTGCTTTCTACTCACACAGTTGGAGTCCTCTGCCTAGGGAAGCTGTTAACCCACAGTGGGTGTGTCTTCTCTCCTCAGTTAGCATACTTAAATAATCCCCTCAAAGACATTCACAGGCCAGCTTAATTTACATAATCCTTCAATGAAACTCCCTTACCTGATAATTCTAGATTGTCAGGTTGACAACACTAATCCTCAAGGGGCTGGAGATGGTTGTTCTGCAGTTAAGAGCACATACAGCTCTACAAGAGAACCAAAATTCAGTACCCAGCACCTGTATCAGGTAGATCACAACCACCTGTAACTCCAGCTCCAGGGGGAGCTACATGAACACACCACACACACATTGTATAAAAATACATCTTAAAAAACAGACCAAGTGTGTATGACCATGTGACAATTAGAAGCAGAGATTAAAACCATACAAACAACAAATAAACACTATATACAGTTGTGGATATCCTAATTCACAAACTTAGGAGGCAAGAACAAGTTCAAGACCAGCCTAGGCTATATAGTAACACTCTGTCCAAAGGTGGGACAGGAACACACACAGACGAACACACATAGACACAGACACAGACACACACACACACACGCACAGAGGGCAGGAAAAGAGAGAGAGGGAGAGAAGGAGAAAGAGAGAAAGCATTCCAAATACTCTCATTCTTGATGACAACATACAGACTAGTTTTAAGAGCCATGGAGGGGCTAGAGAGATGGCTTAGCAGTTAAGAGCACTTACTGCTCTTTTAGAGGAACCAGGTTTGATTCCCAGCATCCACATAGCAGCTAACAACTCTCTCCAGTTCCAAGAAGATCTGATGTCCTTTTCGTGCATCCGTGGGCACTGCATACACACAACACACAGATATATATATAGGCAAAACACTCATATACGGTAAGTTAAGTAATGTAAGAAATCTAAAAGACAAACAAAAGTAGTGGAAGTCCACAAAATCAACAGGCACAACCTCAAAGGACATGCAGAGCTCAGAGGGGATGACTGACAGAAGTTGCCAGCTGGCCTCACCCGCACTTACACACTCAGACTACTGTCTGTGTCTTCCCAGGCCATGGTTCTGAGTTGGCTTCAGGCAGAGACTTAGTTGATACTGGGCTCTTAATAGTTTGGGGATTTGTTTAGGGACAAGGTCATTCACATAATAACCACAGGGGCATCTTAGAATAGCACCTTGAAGCGGGGCAGTGATGGCACATACCTTTAATCCCAGCATTCAGGAGGCAGAAGCAGAAGGATCTCTGTGAGTTTGTATGAGTTCCAGAACAACCAGGGCTACATTGAGAAATTCTGTCTTTAAAAACAACAACAACAAGAGTGGGGAGGAGCAGTAGAGGATTGGGAGGAGCAGTGGAGGATGGGGAGGAGCAATGGAGGATGGGGAGCAGTGGAGGATGGGGAGAAGCAGTGAAGAATGGGGAGGAGCAGTGGAGGGTGGGGAGGAGCAGTGGAAGGTGGGGAGGAGCAGTGGAGGATGGGGAGGAGCAGTAGAGGATGGGGAGGAGCAGTGGAGGGTGGGGAGGAGCAGTAGAGGGTGGGGAGGAGCAGTGGAGGATGGAGAGCAGCTGTGGAGGATGAGAACAAGGTCTAAACCAACATCCAGCCAGATGTTCTGGAATCAGGTTACAGCAAGGTACTCTGGATTATCCAGGTGTCAAACTTTATTCAACATTCCCACCTGGATTCCACCTCCTGGTTGTTCTGATCTTGGATCTACAAGCTGAGGTCACAGGTCATGAATCTGAAGATGAGGGTGCCTTACAAACCTGGAACTAGCTCCAGATGAACTAGAGCTGGCAACTCACGGCAGGGAGGCCTCTCCTGGAAAGGCAGCTGCTGGTCGGCACAACCACACAGAGCCAAAATAAGAAAACGGGAAGTCTAGTTCAGGTTGCAAAGACAGTACTTTTTCATTTAGAACCGATGGAGGAGTAGGGAAATTGACATCTGGCTAGTTGCCCCTGGCAGCCTTGGAGAAACAAGCAACTTCTGTTCCAGAGAGGGCAGGGCTGTAAAGCTGCTCTTCAGGCCAGTACAGCCGCTCTCCACTGCACTTCATTCAGCCAGGGCCAAGTTTGTAGACTGCAGCCGCTCTGTCTCTTGGCAGATGTATTGCTCCACCGTGTCACACTCTGCTAGGAACACCTGCAAGACAGACACAGACAGTGACATCCAGGGCCCTTCTAGGACAAGCCAGCCGTTGCTCAGACAAGGTTCTTTATTTAGCCACTCTAGGGAACATGCAGATTAGACTTTAAACAGCCTGTGCATGGATGGATGGTCACGGGCTCCCAGCCTGGACACCAAGATTCAGGGAGTAAGGGATAGTAAAACAAAGGGCCATGGTTTTGACTATTTTATAGGGCCAGAAACCCTATAAAAGGGGGTACTAGACACAACAATGGCCCTTACCAGAACTTTGTCAGCCCTATCTGCTCTCCCGTGAATGTGGATTAAATCAGGTACACAGGGACAAGAATCCCCTTCTTGGGTTCATGCTAATAAAGAACAACAGACCATGTGTCTGATCGGAGTTCTACACTACCTTGTTTTGAACAGAAAAACATACATACCGACACACTAATATATTATAGCTTGTCATGTAGTATCGTATGACTCACCTGAACCTTTTTCACCAAATTCTTCCTTTTTAGCCTGCTGTCTTTAAATTTTTCTGGTAGGACCTATGAAAGAAACAGTTGACACCAAACAGCTATCATCAGCAGTGACAATGACATGAGACATAGGAGATTCACATGATGCCAAACAGGTCAGCAATATGAGCAAGATGGGCATTTTCAGGCATCATGTCTCTAGATCTGCATCCTACATGGCTCTGTTCAGGGTTGGGGTTAGGGTTTTAGGGTTAGGGTTAGGATTATGGCTCTTGTCCCTATGATTGCTCCTTTCCTTGGCTGGAATGTCTGGACTGTAACCTGATGTGAAACACAGATTTTGTGTTTTATTCTTTCTTACATTTAAATACTACCATGCTAGGAAAAGTACCTTCTGTTGTTCTGCACTTTTTATTTTGTTTGTTTTGTTTCGTTTTTTTAAATTCCAAGACCACAGGAGTTCACTCTTGAGAATGAAGTATCAGGCCATTGACACCTTTACTATCATAAGTTAAAGAAAATTTGGGTCAATGAGTCAACAATTTCCCAAGATCTGGTTGTGGTTGAAGTCTGTAGAACAAACTAACTCGGCAACATCACCAGCCACTTGAGACTTAGGAAAAAAAGACCCATGTTTCCTTAACTACAAGACCATAAACTTCTTGGGACACACACACACACACACACACACACACACACACACACACACTCTCTTGTCAGACCAGTGGGCTATAAACGCCTATAGATTAGACAGTCCACATATTCACACAGAACCTAGCATGCCACCCCTGTTTTCTCCCTGTTGCTGTGATAAGAACGCTATTGATTAGGGGAGGGCAGGGTTTACCTGACTTACACTTCCAGGTCACAGCCCATGATCAATGAAGTCAGAGCAGGAACTTGAAGCAGAG